AGCCAATACATATCATCATCTACTGGCTCAAGAAGGCTGTGATGGCGCTTGTGATCCACAAAATCCATGTTGATGATAAGCAAAGCCTGCAAACATGTTGAGGAAATATAAGTAAAAACAAAACCTAACAAAACCCTAAGTTAACAACTTTGATTTTTTACTTTTATCAGGTTGTATTTCTGAAGTAAAGAAATACATAGGGTTTTAAGACATTCAGAAGCAGATATAATTGGGGTTTGAAGAAAATAAAACCCAAACACAGTTATGTTTCAGGCCCCTTAGACCCTTTAGTAACCATAGTAACCTATCCTTTCTGAGCCCAAACCCAAACCAAAACCCTAACCCTAACCAAAACCCAAACCCAAACTCAAACCCAAACCCAAAATATATACTTACTTCTTCAATAGAAATTCCAGATGTTGGAAAACCATTTAAGAAACCAGAAAATGTCCTAGGCTGTAGTCCGAATCCCCAGGTACTGAAGAGTGGTGGCACTTCAGGCTCCATGAATAGGGTTTCCTCATCTCTATGGATAGAAGCACCTTCTCCAAATCTTTTCTGCCATTCTTCTGCAACAAGAGTGCTTGTCTTCATATCATCATCACAGTTATCATCAGGATGAACTTGAGAAGCAACTGCTTCAAGCAAAGACTGAAGGTCATCTGTGGCTTTCTGAGCAAAGGCCATAGGAGCTGCACGAGGCTCATCTTCAGGCTGTTTCAATGACTCCAATACTGAAGCAAATGTCTTCTCCATGCAAGGTATTGCAGCCTGATCATTTAAGGTGGCTGATCGGAAAGTCTCAATATGCTGTGCAAGGAATAAGTGCACTTGTCCAACTGATGGTTCCTTATGCTCTAATGATCATGGACATATATAAGCATCATAAAACCTTTCTGCACAAACTCTTAATTCTTCCAAATATTCTCTTGGCAAACCAGCAACCTGTAGCAATAAATGGCAAATATTATACACATGATGAAAGTAAGAATTTTTATTACTGATAATACAAAAACCACATACCTGTCTTGGATGGATAAGCTGAGGAAGCCATACCGCATTTGGCCCAAATGTAAATCTCTTCCTGTAAATCTTACTATCTCTGGTTGTAACACAGCAAAGGCGTAACCCGGGATGCTCAGATTGGCATTTGCGTCGTTACATTGCCCCCCACTTAGCAATGGACGTCCTCGGCCACTATTTCGAGCACAGGAGCCATCCCACCTCGCGCCAGTGCGCTGGTTTATCCATTACACCATGAAATCGCCAATTTGCGACTTGCTGGTTGCCAGAATCGAACCGCCGACCCGAAGTTTTTTTCGGAATTCGTGCGGTCCCGTCTCGATACCATTGTAACACAGCAAAGGCGTAACCCGGGATGCTCAGATTGGCATTTGCGTCGTTACACTGGTCCATCTATTGTACTCCGCCAATCAATTGGGGACCTAACTGAAGCCAATTTCCATGGGAAGTCCAGTGGAAATCCACTCCTCTTGCCATGAATATGAACATAAAATAAGTCTGGGATATGAAATGGTCCAAGTAGATTACCAATATTAGTATCATGGTAATAAATCCAGTTTTTTAAACATTTGTGTTGCCAATGTAGAATTGTTTTCCATCTTGAACAACCTTCACGAGATATTTCTGCACCATATCAGCAAAAGCAATACCATTCATCAGCTCTGTACCAAGTAGATGTCGAAACTCCTTAGGTCCCCATGTACACGCTTCATCATTTACGCGAATGCATTCCCGATAATGAATGACCTGCACATGATACAAAACATGAATAGGCAAAATATTCAAAAAGGGCATAGAGATTTTGGCAAGAACTTTAGGGTTTTAGGGTTTTAAAAAGGATTACATACTCCATGTCCTTCAAACATTTCATGTTACCTAGCTATAATTTAGACTGTCATCCTATCATCATTACCTGTTTATATGTTGGGGTTTAGGGTTTTAGGGTTTTTTAGAAAGGATTACATACTCCATGTCCTGCAAACATTCAAACTAAGCCTCATGATATATTAGCATTCCTTGTGATTTTGTTTTTACCAATCATATGTATGCAACACATCAGACCATACATGTTTATCCTTCTCTAGATCCATGTTAGATGAATCTAATGAATTCGATGAATCTGATATCGATGGCCCACATAAACCTGGCAAACCAGGTGAATGAAATGAAGATGATGAACCAGAAGAACCAGGTGAAAATGACGAACCAGGTAAATGAGAAATACCAATGCTAGCATGATGTACATCTTCAAAACCAAAACCATCCTGGTCATCATCTTCAGGAATATCATGGGTTTTTTTGTCCTGCTGCTCATTAATATCTTTCTGTAAATGCCATCTCAAACCCTTATTCAATACCTGAAATGGGAAAATGTTGGTAGTATGTAAATGCACGAGTTTTTGCATGTTATCAAAAAGAAAACTGATTACTACATGACAGGGCTGCAAGAAGACCTGAGAGACAAACCCTAAGTCAAACACAGTATGACCTCTCTACTCTTTACACACATCTGTACTGTAAAAGTACAATATTGTACTTATATTATTTGTAATGACAAAACCTAGCTAGTACACTTCAATAATCAAACAATACTTTCCCACCTACCTTCATATTCTGTAGAGCCAGTCCACTGGGTTCAGTAGCTGTACCCATATCAGTTTTTATCTTTTTTTGCTGTTTAGCCTTTATTTTTTGCTTTAGACTCGTCTCAAGAGAATCAAGCCATGTATCAGGCATTGCCATGATAATGGGTTGTGATCCTCCATCAGCCGGATATCGGGCTGGGGCTGGGGCCCAAGCTGAGGCTGGGGCCCATGCTGAGGCTGAGACTGGGGCTGCGGCCCGAGCTGAGGCTGAGGCTGGGGCCCGAGCTGGGGCTGGGGCCCAAGCTGAGGCTGAGGCCCGAGCTGAGGCTGAGGCCCGAGCTGAGGCTGGGGCTGGGGCCCGAGCTGGGGCTGGGGCCCGAGCTGAGGCTGAGGCCCAAGCTGAGGCCCAAGCTGAGGCTGAGGCCCAAGCTGAGGCTGGGGCCTGGGCCTGGGCCTGGGCCGGGGCTGACTTCTGAGCCTGCTTCAACTTTTGTTTTCGATAGCGCTCAGCAATTTTCTGCTGCTGTGCAAGAAGAACATCATCGGCACCTGGAACAAAAATGCAACCAGGTGGTGAAAAAGGCTTCTGTTGCTGCTGCTGGACCTGGCATTTCTGTGAATGCTGTCTCTCCTTAAGCTGCTGATGTTGCTGCTCCTTCAGCTCCTGTAGCTGTTGTTGCTGGTGAAGCAGCTGTTGCTTCCATTGCTGCTGCTGCTGCTGTTGTGGCACCTGCTGTGGACAAAGAGGCTGTACCACAGCACTTGGTCCCTCTACAGGGTGGTAATATCCATAACTGTGTTGGACCATGCAGTGCTGGACCTCCTTTACATGCTCCTTGCCTGCAAATAGAATTGTACAGGATGGATAGGTTTGATATTCATTTTTTAGAAAATACAATCAAATTAATGTAATCCTTACCCATTTGCCGCTTGATGTCCTCCATTGCTAACTGAGCCCCTGTTGCAACAGGGGCTCAGTTGGCCAATTGGCCGACCACGGTATGGTACACCAGGCAGGCACTGATCTCTAGCCTTGTCAAACACAGGGAATGTGTTTACCCAGCCAGTGTATACAGGCAGGTCGATGTTAGCAGACCTGATCCCTAGGCCTTCTGCATGTCCCACATGCATCTGATCTGAACAACTGTGATCATGGAAGAGTATGAAAGTCACAAACCGTGGCTGGTTTGGGGTAAAGGATGCATAGTTGGTGTAGCTGTCCTCATCATCACTGGCCTCCTTCAGGACCACAATCACTGTATCATATAGCTCAGCCATGATGATCATCTCAATGAAGGAGAAATAGGTTCCCTCCTTGGCTATGAATTGTTGAACAGTGATCCTGCATGTCATGCACATACTGTGTACTAAATAATAGAGATAAACACAAGCTAATCACACATTACATCTACATATTCCTTCTAATTTAGCAATAATGATATAAATGTCAACAAGTCCTAAGGTTGTAAACTTAGGGTTTACAGTGTAAATTGGTTTGTTAATTACCTGCTAAAGTTAAGCTGGAAGTACCCTGGATGGGCATTATGGAAGCCATAGTGCTCTTCCAGGGTTTGGAAAATATTTGGGTGACCCACGACCTTGGCCACCCAGCTTCTCACAATCCTGGCCATCTCCACACGGTGTTCTGGCGATGCTTTAGCAACAATTGCCTCAGGAATGCAGTTTCCATTAGCAAATACAGGAATGACCTTAAGGCCTTTCTTGGGAATGTAGAGGTTACTCATCTGCATACAAAGAACAGTAGTTATAGTCCAAAGTAGTAGAACCATCATTTTCACAACACAAGCATGTCTACCAAACATGCCCAAGGTAAATAGGATCTCCCTTAAAGCATTTCTTGATCTTGCATACCCCTTTTAGAACTGCTTGAAAAGGACACACAGTATCCTGCATGCTTCCTCCTACCTACTTGGAATTGCTTGTGTATGAAGAACACAAGGAGATGAGGAGAAGATGACAAAGAAGAAGAAGAAGAAAGAGAGCAGCAGATATAAATTAACTTGGAAGTCTCTATTGAAGATCTATGCACAAAGGAAGTTGGAAGGTAGAGCCTTAGTAGTAAACTATGTAATTAATAAGTTGAAAAAGCCGAAAGGTAGTCAAGGATAATTGTCTGAAACAAATCAGTAAAGGTTTTTTAAGGCTAATGGTGGGACACCTAGAGGACTACCCTAGGAATGCCTAGTTCACATGCAGGCATGACCATGATGGTGGGTCAGCTTAACGAAACTTTACTGGTTACAAAGGATACCAAATTGTTCAGCCTAGTTACTTAGGGTTTCAGCCAAAACAACCTTGCAATCTTTATTTTTACACAAGTCACCATTTGTCTGGTTACCTTGGGAGAAAACTCACAAGATTGAGCCCCAGAAATACTTGGGGAAATAAAACTTCGAAACCTGATTGATAGGTTGGAGGGTTTTCCTTTCATAAAGCTGGAGTTGTTTCTATTTCTGTGGAAACTTTGCGCTTCTTGTTCGGCATTTTGCACCACACCGTGCGTGTTGTTCAAAAGTGCTGCAAGGTCTTCATGTTGTTACTCGATAGTTATATATATGTCTGGTAATAATCTTGTGCATTTTATGCACGGAGTGGCAAATGTTGTACTTCAATCCGCTCCTTAATCCAGACGTATGAAACATTCCTCGTGGATTACCGGCGGATTGGCGCGGATAAAAATACTGTAACCTTTAAGGTTTTTTTACTCCGTACCAATCCACCGCTCTACGTCGAGTTGTTTCATTCGCAGATGGATTAAGATACGGATTAAGTAAACCAGTTACCGAAACTTGATATTCCGTCCTAATCCACGCGATGTTTCCATATGGGATGGATTGTTCTGTGAATGTCTGCATGCTACAGGACATTTCAAGTGTCCTTTCTTCCTGCGTCGCTGCGAGTTTTCCATCATGTTGGTGTTTGTCTCTTGTTGTCTTTTTCATTTCTTTGTTTTTGCTGTTGCGCTTTCTGTGGACTTCTGCATGCCAAGGAACATGCGGACATCGGTGACTTCACGCCCTGCAGGGCGTTTTGCAGGAGCGTGTGCAACCCTGTGCAAACCGCTGGCCGGTCCTCACAGCAGCGAATCTGACCAAGCCACCACATGCCCACGAATTTCACACACAAATGTGTATTTCCCCGTCGCTCCTGGCTTTTGAAGGCTGCCCTTTACGCGACCCGTCGTGGCCTTTGCATTTTGGATGTGTACGGTGTGTTTATACTGGTTGCTCGTCCCTGCATCACGTTTTTGCGAGGGGCTGCTAGTATTAGGAATTTGTCGTGTTTCTCATTTCACGTGTGTTGGTTTGCGGGCTTCTCCGTCGCCGCTTGTGTGTTTGTATGAAGGCGCCCTCGTCGGTCTGTGTGAATGCCTCGGTGTGCTTTGTAGGTCTGTCTCGTACGGTAGGTAGCTGCATTCCCGTCTCTCCGGGGGAAGCGTTCGTGCTAGGGCTTCTGAGACTGGTGGGGAACTGGGCGTTTTGCGTTTTGGAGGTTGCGGTCTGTTTGGCTTTCCTGGGGCGGAGGTTCACATCTGGTTCTGCTAGGTGGTTCTTTCCCTGGTTAGGCTGTGCTTCGCCTTTTTTACACGCCCATCCCGGGCTTTTATCGCCTGTTTTAGGCAAAGCGCACATTCACCGGCTCAGGATATCCTGAGTTGGGTGCTTTTACGGTGTTTCGTTGCAGTAACAGAGGGCATAAGCCCAGTCATGTTAGTGCACCTTGGCCCGACTAGCTGGACACACGGTGCAAGCTATAGGGCCCACAGTGTTGTGCTGATGCACTGACCATTCGAGGTCCACTGTAACAATCGCATTCTGCTTGAAAGGCATGGTAAGCATCCTTTTGAAATACGTTATCCATGGATACTCGTTATGGGCCTCAAAGATTCGCTGTACTTCTGAGAGCTGTGAATGGGCAGGGGTGTTTAGTTGCCCGCTGCCTAAATGATGCACGCACAGCAGCAGCGGCTGGGAAAAGTGCTAATTCAGCCACCAAACTGCCTTCCGACAGTCTGACCGCCACATTACAATTGGTTTTAACAATATGGATGGAGGTTCTGCGAATGAAATACTAACCCCAAAATGGCATGAAGTGTTATGGGTTTTGCGGGGTTTTTCCACGATTTGAAGTAGAAACATGTGTTCCCCCTCCACTAGTGATCGAAGATTGAGTCAGCTCTGTAGTAGCTGGCACACAGTACGGTACACATATAACGTCTACAAGTACGCGCTATGTGCTCCACCTTACCTCGAGAGGCCTTTAGAGTGGACAGCTACTACAATTGTTATCGAAACCTCGTTCATGTGTACGGCCGTGAAATCGTCGGTTCGACCACGAACCAACTATTAATGTTGGAGGTCAACTTAGTGCTTTAGTGGCCAGAAACTACAGCTCATGCAACAAGCATGATAAGCATCCCTTTTAAAAACGTTATCCATGGATACTGGTTATGGGCGATGCCTCAAAGATTTGCCGTACTTTGGGCTCCCAGTCAAGTTATTGTCTTGAAGGAAACGAGCCCAACAACACTCTACACGGTTGCAAGCCTTTACATAGACACCCAAGTGCCTACTCGTACACGCAGTTCGCTGTTTGTTGTGCTTGCCTGCCGAATGTTGTTAAAACTCCCCCTATTCCTTCCATGTGATCACACAAAACAAATGCATCACGTCAACTCAAAACTTTAATGATATGGACTAGGATAGCCGCCACAATCATTTATCCAAATACACAGGTCGCTCATAAGCGTGTAATGACGCACTTAACAGCTCAATTCCTTCTGTATGACGCCATGTTGGTTCCCATAAAGCCGGCTGCAGCAACCTGCTCCGCCACCTCGCCTGTCAGTCCTGCCATGAACTCAAAGTGGTCCAGGTAAGTCTCTCTCGGCGCTAATAGTGAGTCCAGATGCTCAGCAACCCAGTTCATTAAATCCTGGGGACATAAGGGATGTACAGCGGGAGCGCAGATAGTGGAACCGGGAAAGTGAAAGTGGTGAAGAGCGGGGCTAGCGGAGGGGTGGGGGACGACATCACCCCATTGCAGCTAGATACAGCTGTATGTCGGTAGAAGACTAAGGATACGCGGAGCCTTAATCAACTACTTTTCTGCGGCATCGACAAATGCAAGTTTCATCCCGCAGGTGCACCCTGCACCCCAGAAACAGAGGTCAGTGCAGCTACACGAGGGGAGTATGAGGAGGGAGTGGGAGGGGGAATCGATAGTTTGTGCAGACAGGTGCAAAGTGAAAGGAAGCTTCCTTTCGCACTAGCCTTGAGGTGTGCTACTGGGCTACTCATAGCTGCCTGAACGTATTCACAGGGATGGATGAAACCGATTATGGACAGGTATCATAGCAGCTGTGAGTTACCTCCCACCTGGACAGCCGTGGCCGTCTGCACCAGCATGTCCTCGTTCATGCTGCCCGCCCCCGCTGCCGCCAGCAGGTCCGGAAGCTTTACAAACAGCCGGAGGAGGTGCTCGGTGCCATACACTGAGGAGGGCAGGCGGCCATCAGAAAGCATCACCATGGCCTACAGCGGAGCAGTGAAGGCGGGCAGCGATTGTTGTGTGTGATACCTTTACAGCAGAAAGGGTAATCGGAGACAACCTGCATACAGCTGACGCCAAGGGGTCAGGCAATAAGGTGCGATACCAGATTGCATGACGAACCTATATGCAGATTAGGATTGCCGGTCTTCCTAGGGATAGTTGCTTGCCCCGCCTTGCAGTCTAGGCGCAAAAGGGGCAGCCCTCGCAGGCTTGCTTAGTACGTTCTCTCATATACCTCGAACAGACCACAACTCCCCCTTAGTTCGTTATGTACCGTAGTGCTACTTATAGTTCGTGCTACAATAATTCGGGAGGCACCACGAATATGTAGCACGTACAAATTCTAAGGTATCCCAAGGGACCGCAGCCCCGAAATATCGTACCCTCCGAAGCCGGTCGATCAAACTTCGCAAAAACTAGGATTTCAAGGCGGAAATCAGCTCTTAAACACATAAAATATAGTCATAAACGTAGGACATGAACAACGCTGGGAAACGTGCAAGACAGGCAACCCTGCTTCAATGCGGGATGAAACCGCTAGCACCAAACGCTCCGGCGAGCGACCGAGCTGGATTTGCACCAGTTAGGCTTGATGATGCTGTTGTCGAGGCCCAGCGTGAGCGAATGGAACACGAGGAGGTTGCTAGGCGCGAGCGCAATGCGGTCAATGCTACGGCAGCCGGCGAGGCGAGGCTTGCGCTCACGCCGCAGCCTGGCATTCGACCTGTTGGACGTCCTCTTCAACAAATCCCAAACACTGTATTGGCCCGGCCGGTTGGTTATTAGGTCGTTGCCACTGGTACTGAACTGTACGATCGGTCCAGAATTTGCTAGGGCGTTTCCAAAGTGCGAAAATGGTGAGAGACCATGAGCCTAAGGGTTCCCGGTGGAGGGAGACTGACTGGAAGCTGCAGTTTGAAAAGCCCCGAAACTTTGGAAGGGGCCCCGAAATTTGTATCATGCCCGCAAAATCTGGTCCGGCCTTCCCCGAAATTCAAAGAGCACGTACAAATTTCAGAAAGTTTTTTGACCCCTCCCCGAACAAAGCGATCACGAACTATAAGTACCACTACGGTATACAAATCCAAACCGAGCACTTTAAAATGCCTCCAATCATGACAACGGGCATCTAGTCCATCGAGCTTGATTGTCGACCAAAAGGCCCCGTCACCCAACCGTGCTGCTCCTTGCCAGGCCTGCAACTCTGGGAGTTTATTTGGAAACCCCTTTTCAATGCCTAGGTGGCCTGGCACGTAGTGGCTGGAGAGCTCCTGCAACGGCCCCCCCCACACACCTGTGGGCGCTCACTGCGGTAGAGAAGTACCGCCATGAGAGCCTTATCGAAATAGGCCCGTAGCCCAGTAGCCACCTCCATCTCCACAGCACCCGAGCCGCCTAACTCAGTGGCCTGTTCAAGTAGGAGGCGGGTGTAAGGTGGAGGACCAGCGGGGCGTTTGCCAGGCAAGGCGACGAGCAATGCCCCCCAGCAACATTCAATGTCCATGCAAATAGCGGTCATAGACCGTTTTGAAAACAATGAGGGCGCATACATAGGTACAATGATTCAGTGCACGCCGCCGGAGCAACGGCTGTTTCCACTTGCCTCCCATTGGACGATGCGTGGTTGCAACAGCAGAACCAGCCCAACGGATAACTGAAACATGTTTTGAGCTAAAATGAGTAAATCATAACCAGCATCATCACGAAGTACTTTCCCAATAGGTTTGCTGCTAGCCCCCATTTCCTGGATCCCTTTCAAATCCAGTCGGCTTCAACCCGCTTCACCTCAAGTTTGTCCCGATGTATTCACCCCCCAACGCCTGGAATTTCGCTTTGCACCTCTTTTCCGGTAGTAACATGTGCAATCGGTAGCCTTCTCCTTTTCCCGCTTGTGCTTCCCTCCCCTGCCCCTTGTCAGCCACTTCCCCTCACCTGCTCGCAGTACCTCCTGAGAACCTCCGCCACACTGGGGCTCCGAGGGAGCGGCACCAGCCGGGCGTCGGTCACAATGGCATCGTAGTCGTCAAGCAGGGCCTGAGGGGAGGGAGGGAAATGCAGAGTTTGATGAAGTGCGTTTGTTTGTTACCTTCCATCAAGCAATCATCAGCTGCATCAGAATGCCTTCGACAAGCCATCATGCTTAACCCATGTTTGACACATCATCCTGTGCCTTCACTCCGCCCTTGCAACGGGTTACACACGTACACATAGACGCGATCAATTCACCCGTTGCCTTTCCGCTGCTCGGTCCTAGTTATGAAGCATATGCGCGCGTTTGATGTTGCATCCTGCATCTCAGCCAACTGCATCCCGCACCTTCTTCAGCACAGGGGAGATATCCAGCTCCAGCTGCAGCCCCCGATGGGCGGCAGCACCCCCAGCGGCCGCACCCGTGTCACCACCACCTGTAGCAGCAGCACTGCTTGCACCGCCCACGACGGCGCCACCAATAGCCCCGAGGTCTGCTGCCAGCCTGGCGGCGCCCTTCTTACCGCCGCCGCCTCCAGTGGCCGCAGCAAACCGTTCCTTGGGCATTTTCTTGGCGGCCCCCGCACCGCCCTTGGCCCCTCCGCCATTTGCCTTCACACGGGTGAATCAGTGTAATGCAGTTAGCGGGAAGGCTAACCGGCGCTATCGCCACCCCCGGGATCCCGCATTTGGGGCAATTACGTGCAGTAATTACAGAGCTTTAACTGCCACAACGGTGCGAAAGGGAGGAAGCACGCGAGGAGAATGCCCGAGCAAAAGCTGTCCAAAACATTTGAGCGTGAAAAGCGAGGGGGAGACGTTCATACCGTTAAACCCCTTTGGCCCAAGTCCTGGACTCGTAAATCCGCTCGCAGGATGTAGCATACCACGCGCACGCTTAAGCAAACGCAACTGTTATCTGTACTTGCTCCTCATATCGTTTTTTATCGCCACCGGGCCCTTTTCAAGCTCCAAAACGACCAGCACCAGGTCGAGTAACGCCTGGGCTCACTTATCTATCCCTTAACCCCCTGCGCACCCTGCCTGCTTACCCCGATGGCGCCAGTCACCATACCCAGCTCTGCCGCCTTGACCAGTCCAGTGGCCTCCACCCACTCATCATACTTCTTGTTCCAACCCGAATAGTGAAGGAAGTAGTACCACTGTCCTTCGGGCCAATCCACATTCCGCTTAAACTCCGCCTGGACAGGATACCGGCCAGGATATAGAAGTTGAGACACGGGGGAGGCGAGAAGAACCGTGCAGTCGGACGCTCCCCGCCATCAACACCCTTCCACCAGCTACGCCTCGGCCCCACCTTAAGGATCTTGGCCTCATAGTGTCGGTCGACATGTGGTACGAAAACACGCTCGCCCACTACAAAGTCGCCCGTATCGCCCATCCCCGGTAGCGTCTCCCCACCAGCGCCAGCCATGGCCGCAGCAGATCCTGCCGCGGCCTAGCGCTGGGCACGTTGTATGTGGGCCCCTGCCGCAATTGCAGAAACGGAAGTCCTCCCAGGCTCAAACCAGCAGGTCTCCGCAGACTGTACTTCTTCTGTTGTTGAATACCAAATGGAAACAATGCTTAAAGGCACTATGCGGTGGCTCCTCAGGCAAAAATTACCGCGCCGAAACAGACTAGGGAAATAGCCCAACGACGTGATCAGCACAAAGAAAATAAAGCCAGGACGTTCCAATCCGGCGTCTTTGGGCAAGGGCTTCACTACATAAAATGTTGAAAAGAGGCTTCACAACGTCTGCATGTAACAGGAAGCCATTTAGGATTATGACACGAACACTACTTTTGAAGACGACATTCGTTGCAGACGAATGTCTTAGGCGCTCAAGTTGCTCTGCGGCTTGTACAAGCTCTGAAACCTGCCTTCGCGGTACCGGACGAAATCACAGATGACCTCAAGAGTCTTGATTAGATGATGGTTGAAAGGAAATGCGTTTGATTGCTACACAGGGAACTAGGGACCCAGGGGACAACTTCTTGCATGAAGGACATGAGCCCATCGGTGCCAAGCTATAGCAGTAACGTGTAGTATCATTCTTATTATTATGTTTATGTGTAAATGCTTAATCAAACTCGTCCGATGATTGAAGATATCGAGTCAATCCTGGCCGAGCCGCAAAAGGCGTTGCGAGTTACACCGCAACATATGCCCACCCTGTCATGGCGATGTGTATATGAGGAGATAATGTGATATGCAAGGTGCGGCTTCTTCAAACACTACGCAGCTGTCAGGGACAATAGAAGAACTCATTCTACAGTTCCCAGCAGGTACATCGTGCCCGTTGCAGCTATCAACGTGGTTATCATTCTGATTTTGCTATACGTTTTTCATTGGCGCTGAGTCGGCTGCTAGCTTTGGTTCTGTGTCCACGTTGTTGCAAGTCCTGGAGTTTCCTCCAACGCCTTTCTGACGCCCGGAACAGCACAGCTCGTTTGAGCTATGTCTCGGTGCTGAACTTGAAGCGTTGGACTTCCTCTCAGTTTTTGGCGACTCGAAGTCCTTCTCTGGGCTTTCAACCTTCCGGCACAGTCTTCAAAAGTTTCTTAGCCCTTCAAGGCGCCGCCACGTCAAACCTCGGCGCACAGCCTTCGTGCCTATGACGAACGGATCTACCTCCTATCGCCAGCCCGCCTCACTGCACGGCGGTAATCTTCACAACCGCTCTGCACAGCAGCGTGGTGGCATGGCGCCACCAGGCCCCCCTCCGTACGGCTACCCTGGCCAGCAGATCCCGGGATCTCCGACCAGCGGCTCTTCCCCTAGATCTCCTACTATCCCGCCAATCGTTCTGGAGGCTTCTTCGTCCAGGGTAGGTACGCAAACCTGTGTGCAGGTGGGGCTTCGGGTTGATTTTGGTTTCACACTGCTTGGTTCGACGGAGGCTTTCCTATCAATCCCTGTTCTCGTTGTGGCATCACCTTGCATGACCATCACAGCCAACTAAGCTAACGTCGCTAATCATCCTGCTATCTGTGTCTGTTATGTGTCCTGCAGCTGCTTGTGCCCTCACGTCAGGCGCTGTATGCTGTGCTAGCCGTTCCTTTGCTGCTGTGGCTGGTGGTGATGCTGGCGGGGACACTCCACTCGGAGCCCATTCCGGACGGCTTCACTAAAAGGGACTTTGAGCACCCGCTGACATGGTTTGACAGGTGGGCTGGCACTGGTGGGGCGCATAAGTGAGGTCGCCCCTGCACAGCCTCTAATGCAACTGCAATCTGTTCCACAGCATGTTGTGTGACAGGGGCTTGGTGATGGTAGACTGGGATCGAGGGATCTGGTACCCGAGACGTGCTCGGCCAGGTATCCCTGTTCAGGTAGATGGCAAGGTTAAGATGCTGTTGGCAACTCACGTCAACAGTGTTCACCGCACTGTGGATGACGTGATAACGTGAAGTGCCATTACTGCATGTGCCTGCACCATTCCTTCAATGGAGGGAAATTCCGTCGGGGTGTTTCCCCGATAGTCGAAAACTGCTTGACATGGCACCATCCGTGTTAGTGCCCGACCTTCTGCCATATGCCATATGCTCGCCCGTCATTTCGTTCCGTCCAGGCATGTCTTCCGTGTGTGGGGTCCGATGTTGCCTCTGGCTCCCTACCTGGTCCGAGTGGCCTCGTTAGGTCTACAGGGCCGCGCACCAGCCCCCTCCCTCTCGGACTCCAAGCCTCTGAGCCGGCCGCTGTGTCCAGGTGTGACACTGCCTCTACAAACCCTGTTTGTATACCTGACCATCATCCTGCTGCGCCTGGTCATCTACGTGGGCCACGTGGCTCTGCAGCGGTGGAGCACTGGGGCGCTGGTATTAGTATCGGACCACCTGCTACTGGCAGCGTCGGTTGTGGCATGCTTCCAGGTGGGGTACACATGCAGGTTGACAGTGACTACATCGTTACACACGGCGGCTGCTAGCGGCGTTCGAATTAGGGATGGGGCACATGATATAAGCGCTTTTCTATCGGCTATGAGTTCCGTAAGATTGGATAGCATACACAAACGTAGGCAGGGGTCATGACAACCTGCCTTAGATGGCCCGGAGGCAGGACCCTGGCACACAAGTAGCACAGTAATCAGGAAATGGAATGAACTTTGCTATTACTGTGGAAATCCTTCCTCATTGCCCTGGGATGGTTGGTATCCTGCCAGACAAACGATACCCCAATATTCACTGGTGGGCAAAACGATGTTCTCTTGGGGTTGCAGTACCCTTATGTATACCAATATGGTAGGCTTAATGACTCGACACTGCCCTTCCTCAACCCCGCCCTGTGAAACGCCTTCCCCTGCTATGCTCTTCACCTGACCATGATGGGGGTCGTTGCCCTTTCCTTAATCCCCTGACACCTGTGTCCTGCTGCCATGGCCCCCCACGCAGTCCGAGCTGGTGATGTGCCTGTCGGATGTATACAAGTCAGAATTGCTAAGGGGTATGGACCAGAGTACCGACCTGAGGCAGCTTGTGGTCGTGGGCGGCTTTGTAGTGTCCATGTTTGCTATGGTGTTTATCTTTGGTGACATGTACTGCACTGCCCGGTGGTACCATCATGCCACAGAGTCGTGGGCGGCGGTTTTTGCTGGTGCACTGCTGTTCCAGGCGCCTGTTGTCGTCTGGCTGTTGCGGCGCAATAGCTGCCCCACACAATTTGCCCGTGTCACATCCATGTGACTGTGTCTCGGTGTGTGCAAAACTAGCCGGTGGTCACCATTTACATTAGAGGTTCGGTGTAGCACAGGCTCAGCTCAGACGGACTTGCATATAGCGAGTTGAATGCGGTTTCCAGCATTATATTTGAGCTCATATGATAACAAAATGTTCGTGGGTGTGTATGTGAGATTGTGGGGGCTTTGGTATCAGGTCATAATGACTTTACAATTGCCCTCACCAGCTTTTCGGGAATGGAACTTTGCACCAGGATTACCAAATTTTCCTAATTCGCATGCAGATAGACCACCTGGAATTAGCCAGGGCCTCCACACAATCCTGTGTAAAACTAGGTTTAAAGGAAATACCATCGGAACAGACCGTGTACTACACAATGAAGGCACCTCAGCCTCTGACAGTTAAGGACAACAAATTTACGTCCCACCAAGAAGGTGCAAGGGAACATTCAGATGACGCGCTGGTACGCGGCACTGGACGCTGATACGAGTTGCACTCGCACAATGGGCCCGATTTAACTGCAAAGCAGACATCTTCACATGCACACTACAATGGACGATGCGTCAGGAACGTTAAAATGACAGGCAGTTTCGCCTCCATGCCTTCAAGAATCGCTGGTGAGCTGCTTGACGGTCTCCTCCACGAAAGCCTTCAGACTGTCCTTGTCGCGGCTTCCACGGTAAGCGTTAACCTCCTCACCTTTGTGTACAATCTTAAGGGTTGGGTAGCCCTTGATCTGCGGTGGGTGGAAGTGAATCAGAACGGAAACCAAAGCGAGGAAGCCGACCTTCGACAGAGGACGTCGCACATACTACAGTTCTGCAAGCAGGGAAGCCTCAGATGCAACGGGTGTGAATGCGCTATTAAGGCAAACGAAAGATACCTTCCGACAGATGTTCGATACACCACTCTGCACTCGCTCGTACACCACCCCTGGTTGTCCCCCCTCCAAACCTGAGCGCTGGTGCAGACATCACGATCGGTCGTGCAGTCGACGTGCGCAATAACGACATTCGGCACGTCTATTAAGTCCTTAGCCAGTTCCTTCCATGTCCCAGCCAGCCGCTTGCAGTGGCCTACAAAGCAGAATCATAATATAAACAATTGCGAGGCGCAGTAAACCTGCAGAGTCTCTCATAGAGTAACGGAAATAGATCAAACCCATCCTGGCCACGAAGTCATTAAGCACCATTGTCATGACTCACCACACCACGGAGCGTAGTACCTGCAGGTGCAACGACGGCGCGGTGCAAGAGTTGAAAAAGTGCAAGAGTTAAAAAGTGGCAAGCGCGGTGCCCTTGTGTTCTGCTGCAGCAAGCTTACTTGATGAAATAGACCTTGCCATCGCCAGTCTATGTTTCCCCGAAAGTAACAGAAGAAATACGTAAGGAAAGGGTGGACAGATCTCCAAAAATTGCTTTAAGGTATCGACATCTGTGTACCTGTTCTTCATAATTTGAGCTGGTAAGGTGAACGATGTGCGGGCTTGTAAACTCTGACGCAAGAGCAGCTCCACAGAGGGCAGCTGCCAGGACGGCGAGCATGGTAAACCGCGACATCTTGCCCACCAGAATGTCCTGAATCGCTACACGAATATCCAGTAGCTAACCGGAGTATAACGTACGTGAGGGGCACCATCAGGGCGCTTGACTGGAGGAAACGGACAGTTTCTCACCGTTGTACGGAGCTCAAAGCTCAATAACATTTTCATTTCATAATGGCATCGTAGAAAACTTGTCGCAGCTAAACCTACATCTGGTACATCTGATCGGGCGCTGGACCTGTCCTCACACAACCCTAAGTCTGTTGGCCCCCTATTTGGCAAGCTTACAATTGTTTAACTCCGTGTTTACCTTTGCCCGTCAATTTCCTCCAATGCTTTATGCTTGTATAAATGGTTAGTTCAACGTGCCGACAGGACTCATCACTCACAGGCGTGGATGCTAACGTGCGCATCGTAGAACCTAGGTCCCCCGTATGCCTACAGGCCTTACCACCTGTTCTCCTACAACTTATCATGGCCGAGGCCGCTCGCGGGGGCCGAGGAGCGTTTGCTTCCTGCAGAGCCCTGCGTGACGCCTTTCACAGTGTCGTACGTTTCCCCAACATGTTTAGCCGCTACTGCTTATCCGCCTGGGGGCCCCACGACGCCATTTGGAAAGCCCTAGGAATTGCGCCCCATATCCTGGGCGCCGTCACCAACAAAGAGCGCGAGCAAAAGCTGCGAGCCCTGCTTCGCGCGCTGGTAGAGGGGGGGGCAGACGTGACGGTCGCGGTTACTAAACTGATTATGCGAGTCATCTCGAGTAAGCAGGTTGCGAAGTGCCCCGCTAGCCGCACCTCTCCTTGGCTTATTAACGTCTCACGTGTTCCTTGTGCAGTTGGAAGTGTAAACTTGCTATCAGACCTTCTGCAGCTGCTGGACTCAGAACCCGGGAAGGATGAAAAAACTCGGGGGCAGCAGAGGGGCTTGATGGTAAACCACGTCGCGTCCTGCTGCACTGCTCTGACCTGTGGCAGCTGCATGCCGCAGTTTAACCAGGAAGTTGTACGGCTGCTGGTGCGCGCCATCACAGTCACTGCAGGAGTGCCCATCCATATGAACACCTTAACGAAGGCGCTTAGCAACGCCGCCTGCCGTGGTGGGTTCCCACCAAAAAATGCTGACACTTGATACCTTTGGAGAACAATTTTTTTAAGCGTCCTGGGATCTTCCTTACGTCTTAGCCTGGCGCTGGTGGCGGGCTGGAGTTGGTATCATAGGACTCAGGACGGACCCTGTCCATATGACCATAGCTTGCTCTCACAATTTGTATCCCCTGTGAGGGCCACCAAAGCTACCTCCACTTGGTTGGCTGCCGGCTGCAGGTCGTGCAAGCGCTGTTGAGGGCTTGTTGGAAGCGTGTCCCTCGCCTGAATGCATCGATGCGGCCCTGTACTTCACATCAAAGACAAGACATGGGGGTGTAATGGGGCAGCTAATCAATGCGGGGGGCAAGGTCACTAAGCACGAGATGCACAACGCCTTGTATGGCGCATACCCAGAAATGGTTTGGCACATGATACATGCGCTTAGGCGTGATGGAGTTTGGAACCGCGATCTAGCGTCTGAGGTGCTTAGTGAAGCATGTACAAGCAGCAGCAGTCTCTATGAGGCTCCGGACGCACAGTTGGTGCGGCGGGCTGCCACGCTCCGCATGCTGGTTTCGGAGTTCGACGCAGATCCCTCCGCTCGTGGCAGCGGCTGTCTGGCAGTGGCCTCTGCTCAGACGGCGCCATTCGATCGCCTGGCCGAGTTGATGATGCTCATGGGTGCCGACATTGATGCGGCACTGCTCACGCTGTGCTCCTCAGCACCCGAGGATGGGCCCCTGGCGAGATGGCAGAAGGATCGCCATAGCCATGGTGTGAGGGGTCTGTTGGCGCTGGGCGCTGAGACACCGGCTGGGGCGTCCCAAGCGGCTTGTGCTGCCCTGGAGCGGAACCTGCAGGAGCCCATGCAGCTGCTGGTGGGATCAGGGGCAGTACCTGCTGTGGACTGCGAGGCGCTGCTGTCGTGGGCTCTCGGGACTCCATCTGCAGCTGCAGCTCCCCACGGGGCCGCTGCACATGTGGGCCCAGCTGACGGGGCGGCCATGGCGGGGCAGCGCCGGTGGGACTGCGTGCAGATGCTGGTGCAATCAGGAGCCGTAAGTCATGGTGCGGTCCAGCGCGCGCTGCAGGAGGCCTGTCGGCGTGGTGACGTGGAGGCGGTTGGTGAGTTGGCTAGCCTGGGTGTAGGGGGACCAGAGAGCTGCAATGCGGCCTTCTGGCTGGCCTTTGAGGGCCGCCACTACGGTTGCATGCAGCGACTGCAGGCACTAGGGGCAGTGACAGCGGAGGTTTGGGATGAGGCGGCCCGGGTTGAGGCAGCTCGGAAGAAACTGCGCCACGTGTAGCTGCTGTTAGGGGTGGTGCCTGAGAAGCTCAACATGAGTGAGGCTTGGGGCAGGTGGTTCCTTAGTCAATGCGCTACGATTTGTCATTGTAGTATAGCATGTCCATGTCAAGCTATGATAAAGAATCATATGTCGATGTTTATATGATGGCCTCCTTGCTGTTTTCGGAGTACCTTATCCAAAATGACTATTCACTGGCTATGGTACACGTTCTAGTAGGGCTTCGAGCACATGCCGAATGGCGGTGCAGCTTGACGCTTGATATAACCGATTGTATAGTTGTGATGCATGCTAGCAGCTGGCTGGGTGCACTATGGCATGAGAGTTTGGGAATACTTCATCACGTTCGTCACATGTCCGGATGCCATGACGCATGTTACATATGATGGTGTTAAAGAGGACAAGAAGTACCCCCCCAAGCTTAGAATTGGGTCATGCTTAGAATTGGTCTACATATATGAAGCGGCTGACCGCACGCGCGCCTCACATTGCACACGGGCAACACAGCATACCACGCTGTTGGCTTGAGAACAATCGATATGTACGAAGTCTGTCTACACTCCTCATATCATTTCTATGTCTACACCCACACTCAAGTCCCAAAGCCAACCAGCAGCATGTAGGGCCCTAGCCGCCACGAGCGGTGTCCCCTGCAGTAATCCTTTGCTTTTACTGCAAAGAGTAACGCCTAAAGACTACATGCATGCAAATCCCCACCCAAGCCACAAAGTAGTCTACCTGAAGAATGCCTTAAAGCGGTCCAGGTGTACCACGTGCAGCCGTATGTGAGCCATACATGCCTCGCAGCACACAGCACACTATAAAATTTAAAAGCAGCACAATCTCCTAATGCGAAAGTAAATCTCTCCACTTGGGCGCCACCAGTTCACGCCAAGTTATATGGTACAGTGTCCGCCCTACCATTAGCCAGGATGCACGCAAGGCAGCCATGATCCCTATAGCCCCTACCCGTACACTGGACAGGCTGAGCTTTCTACTATGTGAGATGAAAAAAATTGCCGTGGCCGTGATCGATTGACGTTCTGTGCTTGCAGCAGAAATCTCCTTCTACACCGGAAATGGTCCGGTGGAAACCGCATGCATTGTAGGGGCCGCCACGCTCATTGGTGGGGACGAGAGGCAACCTTACGTTCTCCCCGCGATAGTGACGTCCTTTCCACAATGCGGCTAGTCACCTCACCTCCGTTTCTCCTGGCTACCCGCCTCACACAACAGCGGTCATCACGTGTGATGGAAAGGCACGCGGTGTAAAGTGCACTATGCCGGATTTGACCGCTGCACGCTCTACCAATACCGCAATCAAAAGTTCATGGCATGGCAGGTTTTGCATGGAAGCATGAACACTGCACACTCCGCATGCAGGCCCCAGTGCACAAGGCCAGTGACCGCGACCATAGGTATCTATTCCATCTAGTCGCGGTGACGTGCTAGCCATTAGCCCCTACTCCATGCTGAATCCAAAGCAGACTGTGGCAGTGACGCTGATGTAACCGAGATGACGACGCCAGCCAGTACTGCTGACATGCGACCCGCTCCAGCCGCTGCCGGGCGACCTGCCTCGTCATTCTCCTCTTCCATGGTACCCATGGTACCCATGCTGCCGGCCATGCTCACGCTGGCGCTCAATCCGCTGTTGTGGGATGCTCCATCAGCCCCGTCTGCGTCGCCACCCATGGCGCCGCCATTGCTCGCAATTGATGCGTCGTCCGTAGCTTCCCCCAAGACGCCCTCGCCCTCGGAGCCGCTCAAAATTGATGGCGTGCGGGCCGGAGTGGCACTCCCGTTGCTGTCGGACCTCAGATATAGATCCGTGTCAATGCTGTCCACATAGGATGCCACGCTGGAGGCGACGGAGGTAGATGCGCTCACTGCATTTGACGCCCTTGACATTCTAGCTGATGCCGCCGCGGTGGGAGCTACTACTGCTGCTGCTGCTGCAAGGGTCGAGTCCGAGTCCGTGTTGGTTGCGGCTGCGGCGTGTGACGGGTCAATACCGTACTGCTGCCTGCAGACGAGTTGCCAGTAAATGCCGCGACGTGCAAGTAGCTCATGGTGGCCCCCCATCTCGTAAACCTGAAGAAGGCAGACAGTGCGGACAAAAGAAATTCCAAGGGTAACGTCACTGAGCGGAATGGTTCAACACTGAGCTGAAGCCACTAGTTTTTCACGTCCGGGGTGCCATAGCCATACTTCACAGATGGCTCACACGGGCATCTGACCAGCCCATTTGCCCGGGCCGTCCGCCACGCACCTTGCCCTTATCCATTACGATGATGCAGTCAGCATGGCGTACTGTAGACAGGCGATGTGCAATGACCACCACGGTGCGGTCACGGGCGCTCATAGCCCGGTCCAGGGCCACATGGACCTGAGCCTCTGACTCAGCATCAAGCGCCGAGGAGAACTCGTCAAGGACAAGCAGCTTGGGCCTGGGCAGGCGAATGGGACACGATAGTAAAGCCGATGGACCGGGAGGATTAAGGAAAAGGCAGACCTGGACACTTAAGGATGATTAGACAAAGCACTGCTGCAGCAGTGCAGACTGCCGTACCATCAACCCTGAGATGGAAAGTCGAGCAGAGACGGCCTAGGTGAACAAGCGCATAACGACCTCAAGCATGCGGCGCAGGGCACTTAAGGCAAGGAACGCGCGTTTCTTGTCAGCATACAGTTTGGTCGTACTAATGCCATAGGGTTTCATTATTGCCCTTCGTGTTAAACATCCAACGTTCAGACATGAAACATTTATGCGCGCCACGCACTTGCGAACTAATGCCCGCGCCAGAGCCAGCCGCTGCTTCTGTCCGCCCGACAGTAACTTGTCCGTTACGAGTGTACTGTAGCCCTGGGAAGAGGCAATGAAGGTGGATGGAACAGGGTGAAGGAAGCCCAAATGTTAGAACCAGGTCCCTGTCCTTGTTATCTGCGTAGCGTGAAATGAATAGAAGGCTTCAAGGCTGCGCCGCTGGGAGGCCTAAAGCCATGTTAGCCGTCCCACTGGGTTGCATACCGCCATCGACAGATGGTACGGTAGCCATTCAGCACGACAGCGAACCCTCGCTCACGCCCAAGACAAGCACACGCCAACCCTCACAGCCTTGCTACTTCTCATTACTGCTTTAACAGACGGCATGACGGACAGCTTAGCAAGGAGTACCGACATCGTCCGCCAACCCTCCACCCAACCTTCTCAGACACACCTCCGGCAAGGCCATGATGAAGTCGTGGGCGTTGGCGGCGCGCGCGGCCTCCTCGATATCTTCCTGGCTGGGTGGGTCGTGCTCCATTCCGTACGTAATATTTGCGGCAATGCTGCGGCTGAATAGCCGAGGCTCCTGTTAGCCGTAACAACGGAGGGGGGCCGAGGACCCAGCTAAGAGACCCGCCCTCGCTCCGTGTTAGGGAAACTTATTCAGATTACGATTGCCAAGAGGAAATCATGCCAAGGCAGCAGTGCGAACGCGCCCACGCGTGTAACCGCACATCCAAAAGATCACCACGAAGCACGAAAAAAAACCTCGCACCTGTGGCACGACACCTATTTGTGCGCGATACCAGGCCGCATCCGCTTTTTGAAGCTCAAGCGTGTCGTCCAGCAGCATCTGACCCCCCGTAGGGTCGTACAGCCGCTGTAGCAGAGCACACACCGTGGTCTTCCCACTGCCGCTGAGCCCTACCTGCGCGGGCGGGACGTAGGGGGCAGTGATAAGGCAGGGCAAGGAAGGAAAGCAACATTTGGTCACAGGTGGACCGCCAAGAAGGCGGGGAACAGTAACTCACATGGTGCGTGAGGAGTCATGGCCAGGGCCTGTCCAGGGCCTGCTCCTCAACAGTCTGCGCTGTTGACGGTCCAAAACCGCTGTAATAACTAGTCCAAGCCCCAGAAAACCGAGCTAAAGAAGACCGTTTCCTTAACGAGGTAGTCTATGCCCTGTGCATTTGTCGTGTCCTAAAACCGATTTGCCGTTTACAGTTTTACAACCGCCGTTTTTTGATTTATATTTCAAGAATCCTTATTTTTGTTTTACTTACTGAGTAAAAGCTCAAACAGAAAAAACGCTTGTATCAAACTTAAAAAAATGCCAAAAAATTATTACTAATTCCAAAACAACCTTGTTTAAATATTTGTTTTTATTCAAAATATTCTTCTTGTTAAAACACCCCCTCACCAGAGCAGTAAGTTTCCCGGGTTGGAACGTCAACGAAACTCCATCCAGCGCCAGAGTGCCGGGTCGGCTCGGGTAGCTGTCGAGGATGCCATACGCAGGAAACAACGGAAGAGCGGAAATCAGTAAGAAGCATTCGCATGTCCCGACCACAAGCATGGGTCACCACCACCACTGCCTTGCCGTGTTAGTCTAGGCCTGGCAACTCAAAGATTATCCGGACAGGCTTGCTTCTCTCTCCCCTCTCGAACTGCAGTGCCTGTAGACTGACCCACATCACGCTTCCGCGGCCGACAAACTCACTCGCTGGGTTCACGGGCCCGAGAGCAGAACAGGGTCTCACCACAGTTCACCCCTATCGCACCTGAAGAACACGTCCCGCAGGGTGACCTGTCCACGGAATGACGGTAACGTGGCCCCAGCGGCAATCTGCGGTGCGGGCGGCGCTCCCAGCATTGCCACCACACGCTCACTGGCGCCCACGGCCTGCAAGGAAGTACCAAGCCATGGGACCGCAAGGGTGCGGTGAAGGGCCAAGCCTCAGTGCACATCCACTCCAGCTGTCAGAAGCACGAGGCAGAGGATGTTGTGACTTTGCATCATGTGACATACGGGAGCTTGATCAAGATACACGGCCCGTCCGATAAACGGCACGGGAGATCACACCGCTTTAACTGCGGAATAACAGAAATAACTAGAGATAATGCGCGGATTCAGAGGATGTTGACATCCGTACATCCTGGCATGCTGCAGGTTTCCCAATCCCCTTACCACATTAACCCCGGGCCCACTCCCATCCACTGGCAAACAGCGATTACACCGTCACGGCCGTACCTCACAGATTTCGGTAAACTCGTCGCACACGTTGAGCGAGGCATACGTAACAAACTCCACGTACCTACATGGGCAGGAATGAACGACCGTTGCAGAGCTTGACTCAGCAGGTTGAGCTCACTCCGCAGGGCCAACGGAACACTACCGGGCTACTGTGTAGCCTTCGGAAGTGGCCCGCTACCCAGGCAAACACCACCAACGCTTGCACCTAAGCAAAATCGTCAAAACGAGTCCATGTCCAATGCCATCTTTTTGCTACCCCAATCTGAAGATGCCTCTCCTAACCTCCCCGCGCTATTTTTGACGCAGGGTTGCTACCATCCGTCCCTTCTACTGGTGACAAGTACAAGAACCACAGGCGCGCCACCCCAATATTCGGCCCCAATCAACCCACATGATAAAGTTTGTCAACTGCTCCGCCGTCAAGCTCCCGTTCAGCACCATGCCGCACCCGACCGCGAGCGCCGCCACCTGTGGGCCGTGCACCAGGACATATCAGGGAAGCTGAAATTCGGGAGGCAAATACGTATGTGATGGCGCCCGTAAGGTGAAGCCTCGCATTTACATTTGGCTGCCTTCGGAGCAATGTAACTGCGCACCAGAACTACGGTGGCAACCGCCACCCACCCACCCACGCGTTCCACCACAGCAACGCACCTTGGATGCGTAGCAGGCAATGTGGCCCGCGGCGACGAACAGCGCATAGCCCGCCGCCTGGCGCTTGCCCACTTGGTACAGCCGGCTGCGAACACAAGGGGCTCCGGAGCTTAAAGAAGGACGTGCAGTATCCACGGGATGAGAACCTAACAAGTTTGGTGCAACGTAATCCTAGGGCCCAAAGGATATGACAGCGTCATGGCAGGTACGTGCAACCGGTCGTTTTCACAATCAAATCTGATGCCACCAATATTCCCCAAGAGCAGCCTCCTATCATCCAGCGCATGCCATGCGCCCTAGAACCAGCAGCACATGGCGTGGACAGACAGAGACCCTTCCCCCACTCACTCGAGCCAAGAAGTGTAGCGCCGCGTCTCTGTGCTTTCGGTACCGAAGGTACGCACCACCCGTGACATTGTCAGCGCCTCCTCCGCCACCGTATTGCTCTCCGCCAGGACGTCTTGGAAAATCTGTACAGAGGAAGCCGAGCAGGTCGCAGTCGAATCGGTTTATGAAGCGTACCGGCTTGGAAACAGGTGTGACGTGCAGAGCAGAGGACCAACAGACCGACGGATCATGAGCTAACCTTTGTGAAGCAATTGTTATCAATAATCCCGCGTGATGAACCACATCCGTGATTTTCATGACACCAGAGTGACGACGCTTGCATAACTGCCATCCCGCTTGTCAGGGATGGCATGACACCGCCGACGCATGTCCACTGAGGCCAACCCACCCGTTCGGGAGCTTGGTGGCTCCGCACTACTCGGGACAGTGCAGCAGGCCCCCATTCGCAACAGGGTCCCTTCCCCATCCCGCACGCAGCCATGCGCTGTGGCACGTCTTACCTTCTGCATCCGCTTGGCGAAGGCGCCGTAAACCAAGGTCACTGCCCACAGGATCGCGCTGATGGCTACCGTAATGGCACAGAGCGATGGCGACAGCACGTACAGGTACGCTATACCGCCTGTCAGACGAGTCAAAGGACAAGTCCTTTTTAAACTCACCAACGAAGCTTTCTGACATGACCCAGATCACGTGTAATGCACTCAGGCCAATAACAGAGACAAGACACTGGCATGGCGTGACAACCTTAAAGGGTTCATTCGGCCTTCATGCCAGGTCGTCGTACCACACCGAGTGCTCTTTCCGCGGGCTCCCTGACCTCTTGCACGACACATGTACACAACACCTTCGAGCTGAAGCCCCTGTGCGACAATTCTGGCCGTAATCTATTTCGAATCCGCTTCTACCTGCCCATATATCTGCCCCTTGTGCTCGACGGATATAGCTGCCCAAACCCCTTTCCATCCTCACCCACGGCCTGCAAAAGATTTCTGATGGCGATATTTGCGTTCGTAGCGATGACTTTGGTCATGGCCTGGCAGTCTGCTTGTAGCCGAGAGGTTAAATTGCCCACGTCTTCCCCGTCGAAGAAGGCCGTCTCACGGCGGGCGAGACTCGCAAAAAGCTCCGTCCTGGGTGCGCAAGGTGAAGTATTGAGAAGCTCAGTCCAGGCCAGCAGTGTGCTACGGTTCGTGAGATGACGTTTGTCACAGGATATTCTGCACCAACCCGGTCTGGCACTGACCTAGCTAGGCAATGCCAAGCCCATAGCACAGCTAATATCGGTTGCATGTCCGCATAGGCAGTAACAAGAACATGCTTCCTACATAACGCTAGCACAATACTATGTACGCTGCGTTCCAAATGAAAAGCATACCAAGCTATAAGGGGCGACGAACTCATAACATACGACGGGCCAATCCACGCCACAGCCGGAACCCTTGTGTGCTCACCTCAGCCTCCGTGTCATGCGATTATTGAGGATAGAGAAGCAGAAACCCCGCAACGCCGCACCAACACCGTATAACGTCACCATGCACTGCAATATGCGTGGAAGCGTGTCGGTTGATCTGGGTCCGAAGCAACTGGGCCAAGGTGCCCGAGAAGGACAAGAATTTCCCGGAATTATGCCGTAACAGTATGATTAGTAGGCGACAGCCAGTCAAGCCCTTGGGTTTCATGGATACTACATGAAAGCCCGGGCAGAGAGGCTGCACCCCCCGCTGCTCAACCGTGGCATTTGCAAGGGCCCCACCAGCAGGCGACCTACCGTCAAGGTGGACAAATAGCCGCTAAACGCCGACGAACCAGTCCCCTCCGACGCTGAAAAAATGGACTTCGTTGCATAATGCGGGATAGAAAGCTCGCATATTGAAGCCACGACCTGCATGCGTCCCCGTCGGCCCCGTTAGGCCCCGCAGGTGGAACTGGAGTTGCCGCCGGGCAAAAAACACTTGCCATGAAACCCGACGCCAGGAGCAATAAGGGAACATCCGGTCTACACAAACTCCAAAGCTTGGTTAAGATGGGACCAAGCTTTATAGGAGATTCGTCCTGCTTCGCTCTCACAGGGCTCTCAACTTTCCACCAATCCAAAAACTGATTAGGAAGTGCCCCAAGGAAGTCCACCGCAGATACACCTTGACTAAGCTGGGGTGCTTTCCACGCTGATGGAAGGGCAGCGCCCGCTGCGGACGCACGGACTTGCAACGCGCGAAAGCGTGGACGCTGGCATCCGGGCTTTGGCAATAGTTGTGTCACTTCGAGTTTCCCCGATAAGCTTGGGTTCTTATTCAAGTGTTTACGTTGAAAAGCCGTACCCATTTCGGGTGCTGAAGCAATGTGCAACGCAATATCCTACTAAAAAGGTTCATACCATGGAGCACTGAACAAATTTACTTTCCTGGGCGACAGGTTCATCGGCACTAGAATTGGTACCTCCGCAGGGAATAGACGGATTTTTTGTAAGAAGACCCTCCGTACTGTACAGCAGGGTCAATGTTCCTCCCCGCAAGTCGATGCGGGCTCGTTAGGTCGACATGTTAGATTGACTCGTTTGATGCATCTTTGCTCATAATTTGCCAAGCCCCCTTAGCTGCTTCTATGCGCGGACCTCTGCGTGGCTCTGGACGAGCGTAATTTTTGGAGATTTTGCATCCCGTCCTGTCGCGCCTCCGTCTTGCGACCCGAAAATTAGCAATCAGTAACCTGTCGTGGTACCCTTCAACTGGTCCGGCAGCTGCTGCGTTGAGCTTACCGTCTGGAGTCGTCCCGCTATGTGACCAGCCAAATGCAGGTATGCAATTCACGATGGCGTGCAGCTGCTTGCTTGTGCTCATATATTAGTGCTGTTACGTTACTTGCCTCTGACGGCGTAACGCAATGCCCAAGTCTTCGGGTCCCGCCGTTCCGCCTTTTCTGTCTGCAGGCTGCATACCACACGGAGGCTCTTGGCTCCGGACCTACATATTTCAGCCACGCCCATCTTGTGCCTCGGCCGCCCGCAGTAAGACTTAGTAGCTGGGCGAAAACGTGTCGATGCGCTTCAACTCCTGACTTGGCCTGCGTGTTGGTCATTTTGCAGGGCTCAGGATATCCCTTTGGATACCATGCTCCTAATTATGGTGACGGCTCAAATGCGGTACGTGCGTATGGTTGCAAGTCTTACGCAAGCCGCGCCCTAATTTTCAACCCTGTTCCGCTGTGCATTTTCAGCCGCACCTGTTCTTGCCGACCGGCTACAGCGGCGTTACGCCTGGTCCGTTTCCGTCGATCGGCGCGGATGCAGCCGCGGCAGCGGCCGTGCAGCCGCAAGCCTACGCCCGTCCCGGTTTTAATTACGCCTCCCCGTTCACCGCCGCGTTGGCAACGCCGCTGCTTAATGCCGTGCAATCGTCCTTAATTAGTGCTTCAAGCAATGCTGCTAGCGAGATGCAACCGCTACAGGCCTCGCCTGCACAACCCCCTGGGCTATGGGTTCCAGAAAACGCGTCCAGTTCCAGCGATAACGGTAAGAAACTTGGCGGTCGCAGCTGTAACGTGGTCTTGGACTAATATGCGATTGCAATCGCCCTGCAAGAACGTAAACATGCTTCTGTATTGTTAACCTCTTGTCGTAACAAAGTTCTTGTCACGAGACCGACCCCATATTAAGTTCTGCGCCCTTCCCAGGTGCACAACCTTCCGTTGGAGCTTTCAACGCCCCTGGGGCCGTCCATTCAGGCGCGCAGCAGCCTTATGCGGTGTTGCCCACAGCTGTCCTACCGCCGCCCCAGCAGCAGCCCCAGCAGCAACAGGACCTTGGGGGGCCGTCGCTAGGGTCATCTGCGATGGGCATGCCAGGTGATGTATTGCCGGCCTCACACACGTAGGCACGACACCGGTAACATGTCCGTGCTTGTCGGGGGCCCGGCTCTTTACCGCCACGATGTCCCCGTTGGAGCATTTTCCGTTTAAGCAGCCGATAGCTACAATATAGCTTGAATCCCGTGAGCCTACTACATGGAAACGCCTCTGTCTTACCGTGCACGCCCTAATTACCGCCTGGTGAGCCCAGGAGGCCACGACCCTCACCTCATCATTTTTAGAGTGGCACATAGCATCAAATATATCCAGCGTTGGGGGAGGCATATGCGCACAAGCACGTGACTTCACGCAACCGTTTCGAAATACAGGGCTACCGGCGGCACTGGCGTCCAGCGGCTACGGTGCTGCAGTGGACGTATGGAAGCACCTTGCCATGGTGGCGGCCACTGCCACGGGGGGCCCCCAGGGGGCCGCACAGCTGCAGGTGCGTCCCTAGGCGGCTGAGGCCAAGGGGCCGACCGGCCGCTCATATATTATGATGGCATGGGCCTCTTGGCTTTGACTCGTGGATGTTGCGTATCTGGGTTTCACTTGCACCACCGCATGACAGCGACATGAGTAATCGTAGCTGTGTAAACACGGGCATTGATCGCATGGAATGCCACGGGAGCATGATGACGCAAGCGCGGCCGTAGGACGTCGCAGTTTGATGCCAATATACCTCAAGTTGAATTGTGTACCAAGCTGTGAGCACATGCCCTCCGCAGATGCAAGGACCCTACGGTACGGATTACCAGCTTCCCTATGTCCAGCAGCAACAGCAGCAAGCCGCGACAGCTGCGCTGCAAATGCAGGCTGCGTATCTCCAGCAGCAACAGCAGCAACAACAACCGCAGCAGCAGCAGGAGCCAGCATACGCTACCGCTTGCCAGGCGATTGCGTCGCTCGGGGCCGCGGCTGCAGCGGCATCGCTGGGTGCGGCTCAGGGTCCAGCCGGGCATGGACTAACGCTTGGCGCGGCAAGTGCACCGACTCATGTCCTTCAGCTCATACAACAACAACAACAACAACAACAGCATAAACTTCAGCAACAGCAAATGCAGGCCGCCGTGACGCCCGATTCCCTAAGCGATCCGGCGCTGGCAGCAGCTGCTGCCACAGCACTGCATTTGCTTCAGCTTCCTGCGGGTCTCCGCGCGCTGGCAGCCTGCGGAATGATGCCACACTTGCTACAGCCCCAGCAACCACAACCAACGCAGCCGCAGGCACTGCAGCTTCCAATCTGCACGGCCGCCTCGGGAGGGTGCTACAGCCCTGGAATCCTTGCGGCGCTGCTCCCACCGCTAGCCTCCTCGTCGTACACACCGTGCGAGCCGCTGACAGCCGCGGCACGGGCCAGTTTGGTCCAACTACCCTACCAGGCGCCTGGCTCTGCGCCGTTGTTATTCTCCGCACAGCTCCCCCCCCGGCCGGCTTTCCCTCTTCAGAACGGGTCGCCGGGTGTCTACACTCAAGATGGCGGTCCCGAGGTCACCGACCCGCGGCTGCAGCACCTGCTACAACAGCGACAGCAGCAACAACAACCGCAGTCGCAAGATCAGCCGCAAAAGCTGCAGCAGCAACAACCGGCTCAAACGCTGACCGGTGAGGCGCAGCAAATGGACATCACCTCTAACCAGGACTTTCCAGAGCAAAAATCGCAGCGACAGCCGCTGCGGCAACAGATGCCGCCGCAAGGAACCCAGGCGGAGCAGCCGCAAGGGGAGGGGCGGCGGGCTCAGCCTTCATCCCCGTCTGCAGCGGCCGCAGCGCTGCGGCGGGAGTCGCTCGGTGGCTCGCTCTCTGCACCATCGCCCGTTGACAATGAGCCTTACACTGAGGAAACTTCTTCACCCTCTCCCACTCGTGAACCCAGCTCTGCACCGTCTGGCCAGGTCATGGGTGCGCCGCAGCCCACGCCTGCCGCGTTGCTCATCCTCGGCCTGCAACAACAACAACAGCCACCGCAGCAGCAACAACAGCAGTTGTGTCCGTTTCCGTTGGGCGGAGAGTCACCCATGCTGAGGCCACCTGCAGAACTGCAAGTCCGGGCTTCACCGCGCAAGAGCCGTCTGCCTGCAGTGCAGCCGGGCCTGCCACCGGGGCCGCAGTTGCTGCACTTTGCCGGCGTGCCGCTGCAGCTGCCGCTGCCGCATGCAGTGCTGCAGGCAGCTGCTTGCCATCCGGTGCAGCCGGCATCTTCCTGCCCGCCTGGTGCAGCTAAAAGCCGCGCGGCCGGGGGTGCAGTTACTGCCGCTTGTACGTCGACGTCGGCGCCTGTGGGCGGCTTAGAGACGCGCAGGCGGACGCAGGCGGACCGGCGGGAGCGGCGCAAGGAGAGCAACCGGGAGAGCGCGCGGCGGTGTCGGCTGCGGCGTGAGAAGGACACCTGTGAGCTGTCGCGGCGGGTCGCGGCCCAGGAGACAATCAACAGCAATATGGCCTCTCAACTGCAGAGGCTGGAACAGGCCACCAACGTGCTGCTGGTGGGTAGGGCCGGGAGAGCGGAATTACGATAGGTCTAATGCCATGCTTAACGCGTGCTACTGCCTAGGACCGTGAGCCTAGGACCCCTTTGCGTTGCATCTTTTTGGATGAGAGGCGTGCAGTGCGGGCGGAATGCTTGAAGATACACAAAAGTGCTTGGGGCTCACTGACCTGTCGGTGTAAGTGGCTATCGCCTTGACCGTCATAAACAGCCGTGCATTTTCACAGGGTGCAGGACACCCTGTGCAGGACAGAGCCCGACGGGCTGTTTGCACTGCCACTGTCTAAAGTCGCTGTGGGATTCCTACACAACGCTTTGTTCGCGCGCTGTTCGCAGCTTTCCCTTGCTTTCAAATGTTCACTTCCCGGGCTTTGCTGTGGGGGCCACTGCAGGACCAGAACCATGTGCTGGAAGCATGGCTGAAGCACATCCAGGAAGCGGGGGACGGCGCTTCAGCTGCCGCAAGCACCATCCTGGGCTACGTGCGAAACCTGGACGAGCAGATGGCCGCAGCCGCAGCTGCCGTGCAGCTTCAGGCAGTGGCGTCGCAGGGTAGCTACCTGCCCGCCGATTCGATGGCGATGGTGCAAATACAACCCCATCCTCAGTCGGGGGCCTCGGCAGGGGAAGCTCAGGGACTGCAGCAACACCACCTAGGATGGACATCGGAGGGGGCTGCCGTCGCATCCGGAGCAGGGGCGGCCGGGGGTGTGATTGACAGTGAGTCAGGGGATGCAGCGACAGCACTGGCGGCACGTGGGTTTGCTCTTGGGCATGCAGGATTTCGCTCCATGCGTGGTGGTGCTGTTGGCGGCGGTGGCACTGATGCTGGCCCGCTGGGACTTGGTGGGGTCCTCGGCGTCGCGTCGCGATCTTCTGGTATGGTGGACATTGAGGAGGAGACGGATAACACAGAGGACGAGGAGCAACTAAGTGATGGCGACGATGACGGTGTGGTGGACCTGGAGGAGCAGGTGAGGCATGTACCCTGCGCGGTGCTTTGGTTTGGTTAGCCACCTGGCTTACTAACCTGTCAATTCGCCGACTTTGAAACTTCTTTAAAACTCCTGTCGTTAAGGAATAGCATCGCACTGCGCGAAGGTTATCAAAAACGCTTCGCTAGCTTGGGTTTTCCCCGCCGGCTTTGGAGGTGGGCGTATTGCAGCGTTGGAGATAGGCGAATTGCAGCGTTTGCAGATTGGTTTAATATGAATTGGCAGCAAAGTTGCTGTAACCATGTGCGCACCCCTGTTTGCTGCTTCTGGACCTGCAGTTGTGAAGAAGCTCGATTGGATGTTAATGCTGTGGGAACCTGCGGTTCGCCAGATACATCCCAGAACACATTCAAGCCGGCCTCAGCCTGTTCTGTATGAGGCTGCGCGGAAAGAGCGGCACTTTTTGGTTTAGATGCAGTGGGTTGCGCTGACGTTGGTGCTTTCGGTTAAGCATCACTGGTGGCAAATCGGCTTTCATGGCGGCCTATCGACCACCCACCTACTCTTATGCGTGTTTATTAGGCATGTTTCCTCAGTGAGCTTTCTCAGTACCATAAAGCGCCAACCGTGTGGTTGGGCCTTACATCTGCTTTCGCGCTGGTTGCCTGTGACATGGCTTCTGTCATGGTTTTATGGACTGGTCCAGGGGCTAGTAGAGGCCTGACGGAGTGTGCATCGATTTGTCAGGCCCTGTACCGAGCGATATGCCTCCTTGGCAAGAGGGCAGCACGTGCTTTGCTTGCCGCGTTCATAGTGGCAACGAACAAGTGATTCGGCAGCATCCAGTTGACTCTGCTGGTTGCACCAGAGCTGATATGGCGGCCAATATATCATCATCAGCAGCAGCAGTTCCTGGACCACTGAGGAGTGGGCGGCGGCATGCATCACCTTCATTGCTTGGTAATTATTCGGTTCTGTGCGAAACCGTGATTTCACGTGTGTGTTGCACGTTTCACAAGAAGCTGGGGTCCGTGAGTTACACCTGCCCTTTACAGGAAAGGCCTGGGGCAGTGGTGGCTGGCGGCGGCAATGTTCGGCGATTTCTTGGTGATGAAAGCCACGTGTGTGTCCCAACGAGGGGCGTGCTGGAGCTCCGCAGCAGAAATTGGAGTGAGTTGCGTTAAAGCAGCTGGAGTAGGGGGGGAAAGAGGGGCATATCCATGAGGCCTGGGTTCTCTTGACAAGGCTAATTTCGTATTCGGGGAAGGGTCCTGTCCTGAAGGACCGAATGTGCCTTTCCTTAGCTGCGTGTTTCATGGGTACCCTTTACCTCATTCATTCTTTTCTCGCAAACTCTTTCACGCAGAAAGCCTTCCGGTGGTAAAGCCTAAGTAGCTGCAGACCAGTTTCTCTGTGTGCTGACGTGAGCGGTGTTCCGTTCCGACATGCAGGTCCCGCACCGCGGCCCTCAGTACAGGGCTCCCTGCACCGCGCGGCTGTCCGAGACCAGCTTACGCAAGTTGGGCGCATGCTGGACCCGGCTGCGGCAGGAGCCAGCCTTGCCATCACTCGCAGTAGCAGTAGCCGGAAGCTTGCTTTGCCCCTCTTTAGCAGCCCCGGAGCCTGATTGGCGTCGGCCGCGATTGTATGCCCCTCCCAGCAGCGGCCTCGGCGCTGGCAATGTCAGCCGCCGCCGTCGTCGCAGTATCAGCCGAAGCAGCTTGTGCTTCCAGTGCTACCTGTGCGCTTCCTTCAGTCCTACCTAGCACAGGACCTCTTGACATAACTGCCGCCATGACATTGCTGTAGGGCGAGGGAGGGGACAGCACAATGGAGTTAGCCTTCCTGGGGGCCAAGGCTGCCGGCGGAACCGTAACAGTGTAAAGGCTACCATGCATGAACGACTGCGGCATAATTGATTGGGAGAGGCTTCAAGAGTGTACACCGGCTGGGTGCTGCAAGAGTGTGTTTGAGGCTGAATGGTGTCCAACTGGGCTTGTGGTGTCGTTTAGGTGTCGCTGGTCTGGAACACCATATGAGGATCTGTTACATATGCCCTTTCTGCACTGCGGTGTGGGTGCTGCTACCGATAACCCTCCATACGTATGTGGGTCGGTGGTCAGGTTGTGCTCGCCGTTGCTTTCATATGACCTAGGGCTTCCGGTGCGTAGCACTGCCTTCTTACTGGAAAATTGAGGTAAACGCAAAGCGAATTTTGCAAGGCTGCATCGGTGGTCATGTCACGAACTGCAGATGTGACATAAGTGCCGGCGCCCTCCTGGACGGACCTGCTCAGCTTATTGCTTCCAAGTGCTGTCCAGGAGCTGTCCGGGTATCTATGCTTTGGCTGGTATCTGCTCAACGAATGGATTCCCATTGCAGTTGATTTCTTAAAGGTTCCGCCGTCATCGTCATGTTGCTATTTTCCAGGAAAATTTAAGTAATCCTTCTTTATCCGCCCTATGTAGCGTCCTCATTCCTGACATATATTGGAAGACCTGAACTGCAGCCCGGCAATGACGACGGCGTAGTATCAACCTAGTAGCCAATTGCCGGCAAGCCGTCTCTATCGGCCTTGCCAGGAGCTGCAGTACTACCAGTGTGCCTGCTTGTTGACAACATCCGACGTGTGTAATGCCCGATGGGCCTGGTGTGTGGCTATCTGTGTATGTGTACTTTCCTCCTGTGCTAGGGCTATGCATGGCGCTTGTTGGATGGTAATTGTTGAATAAAGCAGAGCTGTGCATGTATGCGTGGTCGTATGCAATGTGCGTTTTTGTGGTGGTTCGCGCTTTGTTTCAGAACGGGTACAGATGCCCTGCTAATCCGCTCCAGCGTCGCTATGATCTGACGCACGCGCCTGGCAAATGTGAACGCGCACGTTTCCCTAGGTCATCTTAACCCTGTTGGCGGTATCCCTCTGTTGAAGAGCTGAGCGCGCTAGTTTGGCGATTGAATATGGGGGGGAGCGGCGCGTGTTGCAGTTGCCAGAGCCTGATGTCATGCCGACTGCCCCCCTGTGCGGTGTAATGCCGTAATGTTACGATGCCGCAGCGTTTTGGTCTTTCCTTCCTTTTCCCTCGTCTGAGAATCGGACTGCAAGGAGTTGCTAAGGGTAACGGCACTTTCATGACGTTCATCGGGTGCATCGTTCACGTGTGGCTGCGAGGATATTTCTGTTGAGGAGAGGTCATCGCAATGGGAATGATGGATAGAGGAGTGACTGCACCGAGACGATTGGGTGTGGGGTTTGGGTTGGTTTCATGCTTCATTTGCATTGTGCCAAGAAATCTGACGTGAGATGACGATCAGTCACGCGACGTTTCACATGTTTTGGGACTCGAAGACGTTGAGGGACCGACTGCTCCATAAACTGCTTCGTATGGTGCCCCCAGCGCAATGGTACTAGTAGCAATAGCAGAGATGGGTTGATGGCGATGTTGGGACGGCCGCTCCCTTGCGCAGCATTCCTAGGTTATAGAAAGGAAGGCGCAATGCTACTACATCACCCATAACAATTGCTGCACTGTTACTTTTTCGTTGGCCCTTGTTCTGTAGTTTTTAGTGCTGCGTTTTGCCGTTCTCGTCACTTCAATATTGACGTTGACATACGGAGTGTGCAGTGGCCGCAAGTGGATAACACAAAGCAAGGCAAGGATGGAGGCCATCCTTCATGCGCTGGTGGATACCTGGCATGATCTTCTATCTGGTGTGCTAGGCCAGCAGGAGGGACACGGACTGGCGGGGTGCGCACAAGCACTCCAAGCAGGCAGGAGTCGGACCTTTTTGGAGTGAACCCGCGGGGCTGTTTGTTGGCCAACTGTGGCGCCCATAGTGATTATACATGGCAACCACGCTCGACCTGCAATTCTTGCTGAAAGTTGCAAGGGTATGCCTGTTGGAGCCGAAGGTTTTGCACGTAATCTTGGTTAGCACACCTCTTTGGCGTCCGTCCTGAGGACGTCGTTTTTTCAAGCGATCTTTGCGTCTAAGTGAAACTTAGAACGTTTCTAACTACGTGGGAAAGGGGGACAAACAGTGTGTTTTAGTAGTATAATCTAAAAAGTAATCAATCGCGACTTAGGGCTTGGAAAAAAGGATCGTGTAATTATCATGGATCGCGTAATTATCATATATTAGATCCAGGATGGATTTAATGCACGATAGATCCATCTATAGTCCAGGAAAGATCCAGGATTGAGGCCGAGCCATACACTTTCATTACTTCATCCCAAAATAACGTACAGTTTAGGAAACATAGTGGTTATAGAGTAGCAATGTGGGGGCATGGACGGTCGTAACATCTGTGAGTCAACGTGGCATAGCAACGTATATGACTGGTCCAAACACAGCAAAGTACGCGCAAGCCAAGAAATCCAACCTCGAGCAACCACCAAAGCAGCAAGATACACCTGGCATTACTCCATCTAAGAGCGCTTTGGACGGTGGTGCTCGGAAACACATCGGCGATGGTGCCTCACAGCTAAGTAATAAATTAAATAGAACTATAACTGAAAAACTATTGCTTAAAAGAATTAATAATAAGGGACTCGCTCTAAACGAAAAGAAAGCACCGGGCACAAGTGGACCTTCAAGGGTCATCCCGGGTACAGTGAAGTGTAGAGGAGGAGCACCCTGTGGAGTCAAGCATGTTTTAGGCCCCGTACAGCTTGCGCTTAGGAGCATGTCGGTGTTCTGTGACATTTGAGCACTAGATGGCTGCCATCAGCCTGCCATTGGATGTGTGTGGCCAATGAGCTGAGCAGTCTCCCAGCATGTGCTGAGGTGGCACTCCCTGCCGGCTGGGGTGACGGCCTGGAAAGACTGGGATGCAGGAGCACCCATGGGCCAAAGCCGGAACGGTTTTTTACTGAACAATGTTCAAACAAGGGGGCTTTACCACAGCCCAGCGTCCCTAGCTCGGTTGTTATAAATCTACGAGTTGCTCCGTGCCTTACGCTATACAGCTTCCTAAGCTCGGAGCGTGGTCTGCACGTTATGTTACAAGCAACTAACTAATGTGTCTTCTCGCCGCCACTTAAAGGAACCAAAGTACAGTTCCGTAAGTATGACAAATAGTCCTCAAGGCAATAGTAGAGAGATCTGACAGGAATAACGTCTGATTCACAACATCGGTGCTGTAGGTGCCGCTTCAGCGAGAAGCTACCGGACAGGGTCGAGTTGCCCTCAAGGGGCCAGTTTTCGCCCGTATGTTACATGCGGTGTCGGGTTAGCCAAAAAAAGTGTCGGGCTGCCGTTCCCCGATTCCCGTCATTGGTGGGCCTCCGGACTCCGAAAGTACTGCAGCAGCTTCCTAACAGCTTCCTTTCCGCGAGGCAACAGG